GGGGAGGGAGGAAGAGGGAGATGGCCTTTGGTATGGGATTCCATTACCCACATATGCTCTCACCTTGCATTTTGCAAGTTTTAAATTCCCAATTCCCAACCAGCAATAGTCTTATATTAATTCCATGTAATCATTTAGGAAAAAATATACTTAATAAAATAAGGGGAAAAAAAGTAAAGGAGATAAGAAAATAAAAGAGGATTAGTGATGATTTTATGCTTTTGGGATATGAATTGAAATGAATTTGATATCATTCTTATGGTTTGAATTGACTCCATTTTTTATTTTATACCAAAAAATTGTAGAGAACTAAAATTCAGTCTAGTAGCACTAGTGAGAATCTCCATCTTAATACACGATGAATTTTCACTATCCTCCTTTCCCTTCGTCAATTTTCTAACTGTAACTTAAAAAAAGTTTTAAATTCCGCAACCCATACCCACCCCTCTGCAGCTTATGCAAATTTAGCATTATTATTTCGTGCATCGAACTGTCTTTTTATATTTACTTTATAATATTCGAGTACATTGTAATGAAAGAGTATATTATAAATGCAGTTTATAGCCGTTAAACTTAAAATCTTGAACCGCCTCAAAAACCTCTCTACGTACCAGTTTAATAACATGTGCTATACTAATTGTGCATATGATTGGCTTTGATCTCCAAAAACGCCGCGCTCCAAGGAAGATTAGCTAGCGCTGATGTGGGGTTGTCACTTGCCTGTTTGACTTTTTGAGTACTATTCCTTTTCTACTAAGGTACCCATGACCTTTTTAAAATTTCTTATTGGTCGGTCCATTATGCTTATAATTCGTGGACCATATAGTAACTCTTTTTTTGTTAGGATTTTTACATAAATAGTCGGGTATATTCATTATTTACTTTCTTTAGTTATGACTATATATAGTTATACACATATTATAGCTGCACCAATTATTTTTAATTTAAGCGGTTGAGTAGGCGGCTACTTGGGTTAATTCTTTTTTTTTTTTTGACAAGTTTATCGATCTTTGCTCGTAGGGAAGTTTATTAATGAGATTCAGTGTCAGATTATTAATCATAAGAATTTCGATGCTTCTGTCTGGTAGAAATCTAGTATCGCAATTTTAATGTAGTTAACTGACTAATTAATTAGTACTACTTTTGAGGACTAATATGTTACAGAAATTTTCTAATGAAAATTGGTCATTCTGTATTTAGTAGGAGACGTCAAGTGTTTATATTCTATCGCCATGACGTGATTAGCTTAGCTCTAATTGTTGTCCAAATTTAATCAGAGGTATAACTGCTAGAAACTTTTGAATTGAATCTTTTAACCCAAGATGCTTAATTTTCTCACTTATGTCTGTGGCAAAGGTAGGAGACAGATGCCCCCCTCTAGCTTTTCATGCTTATCTTGAAACTCTTGATTAAGTACTCTTTTATTATAATGCTTCTACCCTCCCCCTCCACCCATTTTTTCAAAACATAACTTCATTTATTCTGCTTACTTATGTTTATGATTCACAATTAAACTATTGTGTTACGTTAATGTAACGACCCAGCCGGTCGTTTTGAGAGTATTAACCCCGATCCCCTAGTTATTGCTCTCTCTACTTCATTTTGTGGTTATGTAACTTGTCGGAGCGCTTGGTGTAGGGTTCGGGTGAGTTTCGGAGTGAAATGGGATACAGTCCCTAAAATGGAAGTTTAAGTCGTAGGAGTTGACCGTAGTTTGACTTGTGTAAAAATATCTCCGGGATGGAGTTTTGATAGTTCAAATAGCTCCGTATGGTGATTTTGGTCTTAGCAGCGTGTCCGGATGTTGATTTGGAGGTCCACACGTCATTTCGGCATTAATTGGCGAAAGTCGGAAAATTGGTGGAATTTTGGGAAGTTTGACCGGGAGTGGACTTTTTGATATCGGGTTTGGATTCTGATTTCGAAAGTTTAAAGTAGGTCCGTAATGTCAATTATGACTTGTGTGCAAAATTTGAGGTCAATCGGACGTGATTTGATAGGTTTCGGCATCGGATGTTGAAATTAGAAGTTCAAATTCATTAGGCTTGAATCGATGCACAATTTGTGGTTTCAGCGTTGTTTGATGTGATTTGAAGGCTTGACTAAGTTCGTATAATATTTTAGGACTTGTTGGTATAATTGGTTGGGGGTCTCGGTGGCCTCGGGTGTGATTCGGACCTTGTTCGGCGCATTTCGGATCATGTAGAGACTGCTGAATGTGATGTCTAGTTTCCTTCACCGCGTTCACGAGAGTGGTCTCGCGTTCGCCAAGGGTACCTGGGAGGCAGGTGGGAACTTGTTCTTCGCGTTCGCAAAGAAGCCCGCGCATTCGCAATGAAGAGTGGCAGACTGGGGTAGACCTCACGCGTGGTCTACGCGTTCGCCAGAAGGGCTTCGCGATCGCGAAGCTTGAGAAACCTGGTTCATCGCGTTCACGAGTGTACCCTCGTATTCTCGTAAGAAGAAACTTGGGCTTGAAGCATTTTGTGCTTCATGAACGCGAGGCAATTCTCGCGTTCGCAGAGAAGGATTTAACTAGGCAGCAGATTAAAATTCCAAAATCGAGGGTTTATGTCATTTTTTCACCATTTAGACTTGAGAGCTCGGATTAAGGCAATATTTTGGGAGATTTTTAGAGTGATTGTTGGGGTAATAGTTCCTAACTCGTTTTTGATTAGTTTCTACTAATCTATCTTCAATTTCTTCATCTAATTAAGGATTTCGGTTGAAAAATTTGGGAAAAAAGGTGAAAAGTTCTTAGATCGTATTCTTGAGTTTTGAATGGCGAAATGGGATCGGATTTGAATAATTTTTGCATGGTTGGACTCGATATCGAATGGGTGTCCGGGTTTTATAATTTTGGTAACTGAGACATGGGCCCAAGTCGACTTTTTGGCGTGATTTTCCAGTTCTTGCTAAAATCATAATTTCATTATTTGGATTAGTTTCCTATATTTATATTAAGTAATTATTATTGGCTAGATTTGAGCTGTTCGGAGTCGGAAAGTCGAGGAAAAGGCCTTTTTATTGGTTAATTGAGCGAGAGTTGAGGTAAGTGACTTATCTAACCTTGTGTGGAGAAAATTCTCGTTAGGATTTGGTACTGTTATGGTAATTAGCAATATGTGAAGGCCATGTACGCGAGGTAACGAGTGCGTACACGGGCTAAATGTTGAAAATTCGGTTTTGCTAGTAGTTTCCTTTATTTCCTTAATTGAGTGTGTAGTCATCATTTTTAGCCTAATTTCACATGTTTACGTGTCTTATCTCTTATTTGCAACTTATAAAACATGCTTAGTTTAATTACTTGCTTCCTTGATTCCGTATTCATTATTTAACTGTGGGATTCTTTACTTGAAATTTCTATCCTTGAAATATCATTTGGTTTTCGTGATTATTGTTGAGGTGATTGTTTGGTTGTTGCACGAGGTTTCTTCTGTGCGGTTGTTATTGTGGCACGAGGTTTCTGTCGTGCGGTTGTTATTGTGGCACAAGGTTTCTTCCATGCGGTTGTTATTGTGGAATGAGGTTTCTGCCGTGCAGTTGTTATTGTGGGACAAGGTTTTTGTTGTTGTTATTGTGGCACGAGGTTTCTACCGTGCGGTTGTTATTGTTTGCACGAGGTTTCTGTCGTGCCGTTGTGATTATTGATACGCATGAGTGGTATAAGGAAAGATTGTGAGATATTTACTTTTGGGACTACGAGGCGGTACCTCAGGCGTGCCCCTATTGATTTTCTCTATTTGCTGTATTGTTTGTTGTTGTTGTTCCTTAACCTGTAAGATTCTTGCTTCCTTTCCTGTTGTATTTGTCTTCTTGATTCCGTGTTATTACCTTCCGTAAATTCTTGTTGTTTAACTTCCTTGTCATCTTATTATATCATTATATCTTATGCCTTGTTTGTTATAATATCCAGTGGGGCCCTAACCTGACCTCGTCACTACTATACAGAGGTTAGACTTCGCACTTACTGGGTATCATTGTGGTGTACTCATACTACGCTTCTGCACATGTTTTTGTGCAGATCCAGGTACATCTTATCAGCCTCGATATTAGAGTGTTGTGCTGCTGCTTGGAGACTTCAAGGTACAACTGCCCGCGTCCGCAGGCCTCAGAGTCCCCTTCTATCTCGCCTTTTCCTTGTTTCTTTATGTTTTTTTATAGAGAGTGATGTATAGGATAATTGCAACATTTTATCTAGAGCTTGTGACTTATATCTATCAGGTTTTGGGAGTTGTTTATACTTTGAGTTACTGTTTTTATTTATTAGAGTTGTTGATGTTTTGAGTTTAGCTTAATATTTTAGTTATTCCGCATGCTTGTTAAGTTTACCTAGTCTTAGAGGCTAGGTGCCGTCACGACATCCTACAAAGGGAAATTAGGGTCGTGACAAGTTAGTATCAGACCTATAGGTTCATAGGTGTTATGAGTCACAAGCAGGTTTAGTAGAGTCTCGCGGATCAGTATGGAGACATCTGTACTTATCTTTGGAAGGCTATGGATTTGTTAGGAAAAACTTCACTTCTTTAATTCCTTATCGTGCGAAATTTTTGACTTCGGATTCATAACTTCTGTCTTTCTATTCTCTCATAGATGGTGAGGACACATACAATTGGATTAGATGACCAGACACCCCCATCCCCTGCTAGAGCCGCGAGAGGCCGGAGCCGGGGTAGAGGACGAGGACGTCCATGTGGTGCAGCCAGAGCACCCACATGAGCTGCTACAGAGGAGCCACCAGTAGCTCCAACTGGAGGCAGGCACCTGAGACGCCTGTTACTGCACCAGCCGTCCAGGAGACTCTCGCCCAGTTTCTGATCATGTTCAGCACTTTGACTCAGGCAGGGTTGACCACTTGCTCCTGCCACATCTCACGCCGGGGGAGGAGCATAGACTCCCGC